ATGCTACCTAGATACATGTTTTTTGTTTCTGCTTGCTTTGGAGAGCCGGGCTAGAGCGAGATCGGAGGTCCGGACCGGCGCTCCAATGAGCACCGGAGATCCCACGTACCAGGCGGAAATCCTGGTGCCGCAGGCAGTCGAATGTGTCCTTGATGGGTGCGGTGGGGTCCGCAGTTTGGGCGTTTTGGCATGACGATTGCGAACACCATCCCGCCACAGGGCGGCACACAAGCGGTGAACCACTCTGGCCGACCCCGCGGCGATCCCAGTGAACCTGTTCAAGGGAATCTCGCGAAGGAGTCGCTAGCTTTTTGCTCGTGGGCGCCAATCTCACCCCGGACCACCAGAGCTTGACTCGGGTTCTGCTTCTCTGTTGGGTCTTGTTTGTTTGGGACGTTTGCATGGGCGTGCAGGAGGAGGCTGGACAACTGGGCATACGCACATGCGTCCTAGCGCGCCCACCAATCTTTTTCCACACAAGTGTTTTCCTTGCTCCTTGTAGTCTACTTCAGGCCCAGTACTCACCACAAAAGTTACTAAGTTTTGGATCTCACTTGACCAGCCGGCGCCATAAGTCTTTGCCTTCAAGAAAACAGCTGAATGAGAAAAGCAACTGCGACAATTGGAACAGTACGCCGCAGCCGAGTGGGTCCTCGAACTGAGGCGAGGGATTGAGCAAACCTTCCGAGCTGGATGCAAAAGCAGCATGGGTATAATCGGGGAACTCATGATATGAAGCCGTGGAGAGTCTCAGCCGCTGAAACACCAAGGTGTCATGTGCATTCGCGGACCTACTCGACCTTCGCCGCTTGATTCGATACGTTCAGAGGTAGCCCAAGCACCCCAAACAGAAGCATGGCAGGCACTGTGCGAGCAAGGCTTCAGATGCACTGGAGGCGAAGTGAGGTCGGATTAAAGTCTGGCACAAGGGCATGGAGAGTGGCGCCTCAGCTCATGTGGCCGTGTGGCCCATGTGAATGCAAAGTACAGCTAAGTGCCTGATTCCCGCGAAACCGACTGCTCGAGTTAACTTGCTTTGGGTACTCATTTGGTGGATGCATCCGATGCCTAGAACTCAGCAGGTAGGCATTTTGTTACAGGAACGGGGCATGCCATGCTGACTAAAACGATAAAGCACGGTCTTTTTGATGCTTGCAGCCAAGCCCAGGAAGGACCAGGCATTGACTGATGCCGCGCGGCTCACTGAGGCATCGGTGGCCTTGCGCTCACTCGCTGAAGGGCTCTCTAAAACTCTGAAGGACCCTGTGACATGTCGTAGCTTCTGGTCCTTGTGGGGCTTCTCTGCATCTTGGATTCACGTGCTTACTGCAATAGTCGGCATGGTTACAGTACCTCGTTCTCGTTTTCAAAGAGCTGGAGGTGAGCCTCTATGTAGCGTCTGTCCAATGCTGCAGGCGGCGAAGGCAGATCCAAAGACGGCCCTGAGCTGAGA